AGGTCTCTTCTGGTATAAAACAAATTATAGGAATGAATTCACTAGATCTGTGAGGTATACTAATTGTATTTTAATCGGGATTGTGTTGAATCTTTATACCAATTTTGGGAGCATAGTCATTTTCACAATGTTAGTTTTTCTTATCCAGTAGCAGGGAATACCTTTCTATTTTCTGAAATCCTCTCAATCTCTTTTTTCAGAATGCTATAATTTTCACTGTATAGATCTTTACTCCCTTCATTAGATTGATTCCTAATTATTTCATTTCTTTTTGGATGTTATTCTGAAAGGCATGGTTTCCCTAACTTCTCTTTTGGTGTATCTGTTCTTTGTGTACATAAGTGCTATTTTTTTTCAACCGTTCTTTATCAAGTTCCATTTCATACTCATGGCTTTGTGAAGACTTCCTTTTCTTCCTCTAACCATCACTTAAAATGAACCAAGTATTGTGCTACTGCTATCATACCTTGTTTCAGATTTCCATAACATTTATTGCTTTTCATAAAAAGGGGCCTAAATACATACCTGTTCCCACATGAAGGCTTTGGTCCTCTATCTTTTATTTATTGCTGCATTCTGAGCAACTAGTGAAAACCATGAAAAAGTGATATGTTAACATCAACTATATTTCAGTCCTATCAGTTAATAGCCTTCATGCTCTACTGTTTCCAGCAATTTATATGTATAGTTATTTCTAGGGTAGTTGTTATCTAGAAATTATTTTTTTTCATTCTGAAACTTCCATGTGTTATAAATCTGGTATTTTTGACATTGTTCATTATCAATAGGCCTGATGTTTGCCTTTTTGTATTTACTATTTTTAATATTCAAGTATTTTTAGTGTTCTGATGCATTTACACAACAACTGGTCTCTCTCCCTTCCTCACTCAGCCAGAGACTAGTCAATCCCAACACAGTTACAATCAACCCCCTTGCACCAATCCTTTGATCTATTGGTTACTCTGTAACCATCTTGCCACACATCTCCTTGTGTAGAAAACCAAATCTTACATCTGATCTTATGTATTGCCTAACTCTTAGTTGTGAATAATTTCATTTTAAACATAAGTAGTATAAATGTACATATCTATTGTATATATAGATGATTCCTACAGTCAATTGGAACAGTCAAGAAAGTTAATGTGCACATCTCTGGCTTTGTAAGGTTTTATTGTCCAAGCCCCTTCTCTAGCATATTTTACTGTTTTTTTTTTTTGTTTGTTTGTTGGTGTTGTTGTTTTGTTTTGTTTTTGTCACTCATGTATTTGGTACAGGGTCTCACTGCACAGCTCAGACTTGTAGTGATCCTCCTGTTTTCAGCCTTCCCAGTGCTAGGATTACAGGCATGCACCATCATGCCGGGACTTGGTCTGTGCCTCAGTGTGCCCTGGGGGCAGGGCCAGCGTAGCATGCAGACTGGGGATCGAACCCTGGTCACTGAGCTTGCCAAAGGAGGCACTTAGTCCTCTGAACTTTCTTTCTGGCCCTGTAGCATATTTTAAATGTTTCTTTTGATCATGTTCTTTTCCTCTTCATTTCTGGTTCAGTCAAATCTATATGCGCACCTCAAGTAGTTACCTCTTTTTGCACATCGAGGTGAAAGTATATAAAATTCAGATTCAGAAAATTTCCATGATGCTGGAGAGAAAACATTCTCTCAGGCTTTCACAGAGAGCACATTGGCCAAGCAATGGCCGTGACTCATCTACATGGCTGACACTGACAAAGGTTCTACAATATGAGGTGCAGGATCTCGGGATAAATCCTGAGGGGATTTCACTGACTTTATCAGACCCAAAAGCTACAACTCTTGTTGCATAGGTCCTGCTTTACCTTGGTCTTGGCCATCCAGCAGCAAAGTATAAAAATGAAATATAACAAGTAAAGTCATGTTGAGCTGTGGGAGACTCAGGTCAACAATTTCTGACATTGCCAGTCAAGCGGAAGACCCAATACTATTATGGGCTACTGTACTCTTAGAATATTTTGATGAGTTTACACACCTATAATATTCAAATAACAGAACTTAACAAAAAAAGGGTATACAGACGATTGTATCTGTATATTCAAAGTGGTTTGGATAGATATATAGTTACATTCTCTTAATGAATAGAATGATTTATTCTAATGGTGTTTGTAAATAGGATATCAAGTCTGCATCTTGTACAGAAATTAAGTACTAGGAAGAATGTATGCAGGGTGTTAATTATTGAAACTGTCCTACCGATTTGATTTGCAACTGTCTCATTGCTATTTGTTTATCAATAAAATTATGGGAAAAAAGAGAACACCTTATAAAAAATAAAATAAAATAAAATAAAATAGTAATAAAAATTAAAAAAAGAAAATTTCCATGATGCAATAAAGTACTAATAGTCATATAGTCCTTGTGCTGCACATTATATCTTTAGAGTTATTCATTAGCATACTTAAAATTTTGTGTCCTTGACATATGCATTCCTACTTCATTCTCAAAATTAGTAGTCATCATTCATCTTTCTGTTCATATATGTCCAGCTTTGAGTAGATTCTGAACATAAGTGAGTTTGTGCAGTATGTTTTCTTTTTGTTTGACTTTTTTATTTCAAAACACTTAACTATTTTGATAGGCCCTAGTCATTCACCTAACTACAAAATTTAATGTCAGTTTCTCTACCTTCTATCTCAAAGTGTGAATTACATTTATTTATTTCCATCTTTTTCCTCTGGTCTTATGAAAACTGGTATGATTTTTGTGTTATTCTTTTGGCCATCATCATGATCTTATTGACACATGTCCCTTCCATGTATTTCTGCTCTTTGGACCACTACAACTCTTTCTCTCAACTGGGACCTTTTTATCTAAGTGATGATTCTTCCTTGTTCTAAGTCCACCTTCTAATGCTTCTGTTGTACCTATGCAAAAGTGACTGGCACCTCATGCCTATGTAGATCATTACTATCTCATAAATTTCTTGTTTATATGTCTCCAAAGGGCCAAATACACAGGTTGCTTTTAATAACTGACAAATTGCTTCTTAATCATTTGAACTGTATAAGTGGTTAAATGGATATTTTATGCCCCCAAATAACTTTCTTGTTTCCAGCCTACTGCACATCTTTATAGTAACAATACTTTAAACTATTTTTACTGTTGACCCCAGTTGCTTTTTCTAACAATGAAGAATATCAGAAATGTGAGTAACCATGTGCTTCCTGCTGGTATTCTAGTTGTTCCTGTTTCTATTTGTTCTACCAGCACTCTTGAATTCAATTCTTATACAATTTCTTTTCTTCCTTGGTATTCTTTCCCTAGTATAATTCATTTACCCTTTAGGAGAGAAAAAAAATTTCTTTAGGTATACTTTTTAACTTTTTCTTTGAATATAATATTGAATTCACACTTTCTGGATATTTTAAACTTCTCAAGATAACTCAATTTATCACAACATTAATTAAGTATTGCCTTTATAATTTCAGCTTTTTAAAATGTTATTTTGTTTGTTTTGTTTTGGGGCTTTTTGGAGTGGGTATCTGGAATCAAACTCAGGGCTTCATGCTTACCAGGCTGGTGTTATGTTACTGAGCTATATCCCCAACCCCTTCAGTTTAGTTTTATATCTTGCTTTATAAAAAGTCTAAATTTCTCACATTTCTCATATTTTAGTAAAGTTGTCTTTTCCATTGCTTTAAATCTTCACCACCATTCCTCTACTTAAGGTTATCAACCTGTACTAGGCCACAATGTCTGCCATACAACCACCTCCTAAAGTTACTTTACTAAGTAACCTAAGATATTGTCATAAAGTCATAGAACAAAAAAGATATTGCATGTTTTAATTTCAAATGCTTTTATTTGCCCTTTCTTTGGCATGTTGCACTTCAGGTCTATGTGCTTCTTTCAGTTGAAGTGTTATTCTTATTTAATCAAGTCTCAAAACCCTAGTCATTCTTTAATGTTTAGCTAAAGTAATAGCACCATATACTCCTCTGTCCATGCCTAACACAAATGCCCCATTTCTGCTAGCTATGAATAAATTCCATGTATCGAAGCCAAAATGCTACAGGAAGAATTAAATTTTATAACAATAATCAATTGAATTTTATAACAATAATCTCAGGATTAAAACATAAGCTCTTGGACTTACTTACATTTGCTATTAGGAAATAATATCATTTTGAACAAACTTTTTAAAAATTTGTTATACTGTACTTGATGTAAATAAGGAAAAATATGCTATTTCTATCTTTTATGAAAACTATACAAGATGACTACTAAGTGCTTAGTGTCTAATGTAGGTAGAAGTAAAAAAAATCTATTGATATTATTTTTACTGGAATATAAAGGGGTAATCAGTATTTATTGGGAAAGTAAATCTCCAGAACACTTTGAAAAATTTGTGTCAACATTGTACTGAGAATTTTGTCTATTCCCACCAGCCATATCCCTTTTCTAATTTGTTCCACTTTAAAGTTTATTCTCTTATCTACAAAGTATTTATTTAAACTCAATGATTCAAATCTGATTATTCTGGGAGCTAATAGCTTGCCCACTGACTAAGTGATTACCATGGTTTTACCAGCTTGCTAGTCTTCTCCATGAACAAAACACTGACTGCCCAGGCAACAAGAACTGCAGCCTTGCTGAAGCCATGTACAAGTCTAGTGCCCACCCAGAATCACCCTGCAAAGGAGCTCTAATGTCTCACTAGAAACTAAAGAAACATGTGCCCACCAGAATTGTGGAGCAAGGGCAGTGCCCTCCAGCAATTGTTTTAATTTATTAGAAAACTGTATTTTCTTAATAATTTTCCTTCTTCAACTTTTGAATTGCTTCCTTGTTACAAGAATCCCCAGAATTTCTGGGAACAGATAAATGACAGCAATCACTTTGTCCTCATGTGGACTTCTTAGAATTGAAGCTCACCAGTGAGTTTGTTTTAAACCACAAAATTAGCATGTGATTAAATTCAGTATATATAGTACAGCCACAAAAGCAGACAGACCATCATCTACCCAGCTCCACTTTCATTTCTTGTCTTCCATTGTGGAAAAAAGGTAAGAATTTTAGATATGAATTCAATGTGAATTTATTCCAACCTGGATTGAGCTGTGGGAAGAGCATAATTGATTAAAATGAAATATTTGAAATGAGTAATTAAGGAAAAGCTGAGCCTGTATTTAAAAATTACATTTAAAATGGAATTGTTTAGAAAGGTCTGGTAAAAATTGTAATGATCCTACAGACTTCATTAGTCTAATAAAGTGTAGTAAATGTAGGACCTAAAGTTCAATACAAACTGGTAAGGAAGCTGTGTTTCAGTCAGAAGTATTTTTTGGTCAGAAGTGCTAGCATTTACCTCATGAGTTACCCCAGATGTGAGAGGGGAGCAGGAGAATGTGACTTTTGGGTAAGGCATCAGGCAGCATATTTAAACAGAAGAGAAGCAGGATTACGTGTGCTCTCCAGAGTCATGGGGCACACAGGAGAAGACATCATTAGGTGTGTAAGGCAGAAGAGTATAAGGCAGAGGAAGCAAACAAGATAGCAGCCCCAAAAAGCATCTGGAGAGTGAAACAAATAAATGAAATGTTGGATAAAGATCTCACTCTCACTGGAAATGAAAAGGTATGATTTAACTAAATTTCATAACTATTAGTTTTTAAAAGATAAAAAAACTGAATTTCTTTTTACAGTTTTTGGTCAGTTTTGATTCATCAGGGCTGAAACCTTCATATCCTTAAAATCCAGGTAGTGTTCAATAGCTTGCATACCTTGTGCAAGGTTGCAATCACTTGGAGGAAGCTGACCAATGCCCTCTTTCCACAAATTGCAGTGCGCTGTCAGCTTTAGTACTGTAGAAAGGTGCAATACTAAAAAAGGTGAGGTGGACTGAGGATGAATCTGCTGACACACCAAGAGCCGCATCTCCAAAACATTGTCGTGAGGATAAAAAAAGTGAATTTGCCCAATCCTGTGGAAGTCTTTAAGAAATGGAAACAGTAGGTAATAAAATGCCTTGCTGTTCTCCAAAACTAAGAAACTTCATATAGAATAAAATAAATACATGCACAAAAAAAAACCCAAACACCTAGGCAGTGTCTAACAAGGTATCATATTTGTATTTTCAAGCAAATGAATTAATGCATTTTCTGTAAATATTCATCATTTCTTTATAGCTTTCCAAAGCACAATGCTCTATATGAAATAAAAATAAATTAAAAAAAAAAACAATGCAGCCAACAGTTGAAAAAATTGAAATGGCTACCAAAAAAGTTCATTATAGGGCCAAGGAGGTGGCTCAGTAGAATAAGCCCTTCCCTGGCAAGTGCAAGGGCCTGAGTTGAATCCCTGGTTCCACCAAAATAAATAAATAAGTAAAAGTTCATTAGACATTTAGGAGTAGAAAATGACAGTCAATTTCTCTCTGGTCCTATGATAATCATATAATCATATAATGTTTAATGCATTATATACTAGTCATATATTTTCCAAAATGCAAGCATTTTTATAATATTAGTTGTTTTCAATTTTGTTTGAAGAAAAAATAGCCCTACCTACATAACAGAATATATCTGACTGCCACTTTCCCCCACGCTCCCTCTGTCATTACAGGGCTCAGCCATGAAGCTCGTCCTCCTTCTTGTCTGCCTTGTGCCTCTCACTCTCGCAAGGGAGGTAAGTACAGAACGTGGTCACAGGACTGAGACAGACAGGACAATCTGCCTACTTCTAGACAGAGAATGGCATCACCAATATTTCTTAATGTTCAAAGTATAGCTGTGAAAATTACTAACATCACAGATGATCTTGATACTTTCCTGTACTTTTATAACTGGGACAAAGGCTTTCCATGCCCATACTCCAGCCATCTCTAAAATGAAAAACAGAAAAATCAGTAAGTTACAAAGCAAGAAACACGCATACACGCACACACACGCACACACACCCCCCACACACACACACACACACACACGTTAATGGAGCACTAACTCACATCTTACTTGTCTACCAGGACATATCCAGGAGATGGAGTAGAACAATAATTAAGCTTATAACTATAAACATATTTACAATCAGAGTAGGAAGATTTGGTACAAACTAACTTGTTTTCTGTGATCTTTCAAAACTTATTCTCATTTCATGTAATAGACATGTATACCAATTAAAACATTAAATGAAAAAGACAATAGAATAGTCACTTTTTAAGTTTCTAAAAAGGTATATATTTTAATTTTATTTTTCAAATTTAGTAAAAAATTATAAAAAATTAAATAAGAAACATTCAATAATAAATTAATTTTAGGAACTAAAATGGTACTTTTCATTGTTTTTCTTTACAGAAGCAAGTACTCAGTGCATCTGCTGAGGTAAGATTATTATTATTTTTTTATTATCATTTTTTTTGTGGAACTGGGGATTGAACTCAGGCCCTTGAGCTTGCCAGGCAAGCACTTATTCCACTGAGTCATCACCCCAGCCCTGGTAAGATTATTTTTGAGGAAACTGTTCAACAACAAAGGAGTAAAATTTTCTCACAACAAAGTGATACATATATAATTTTTCTTTCTTCTCTTTTTTTCTTTCACAGACTTCAGAAAGTGTTGCAAGCAGTGACGTAAGACCACAGCCTATCAGGGGCAATTTCCCTCTTTTAAAAAAATGCTTTCCTTTTGCCTACTATGTAAAAGCATGGAAGTTAGATTTAAAGCAACTATCTTCTGGCATTACTTTCCATGCAAATTTTCATTCTGTATGCTTAAGAACCAAATAAGGTACAATTTAGTATTTTTAATCATTCTAAGATGACCCCATACTTAAAGTTCTGCCTCTTAGTTCCCTCAGTTTTGAGTATGTCATTTTTTCTCTATATATATGTATATTATATATAAAATATTATAATATATATATATATATATATATATTACTACAGTATGTACAGGGTCTCACTATGGACTCATAGTGATCCTTCCTGATTTCAGTCTCCCAAGTGCTGGGATTACAGGCTTGTGCCACCACACCCAGTCTTAATCACCATCTCAGCACAACCCAGGGCAGGGCCAGCATGGCATGCTGGGGATCAAACTCTGGCTGCTGCGTTCTACCTAAGCAGGTGCTTTAGTCTCTGAGTTATCTGGCTGGCTCTGATGTGGTCTTCTTGAATTCTTACTCATTTTTTTTCCTGACATACTATGGATTGGAAACAGGGCCTTCCAACTGATCTGTAGTCCTAGCCCTTGTTTATATGAGATGGGATCTTGCTAAATTATTCACTTGGCTCTAATTGATGTGTCATCATCAGTTTAGTAAATGACAGTATACTTTGCCTCTTCACGAAGGCTGTAAGCTCTTTAGAGGAAGTATGTACTTCACCTATTCATTTGATCACTTACAGTTGTCATGTGAACAAAGAATCATTAGTCTATATTTTTAAGTTTTTATTAATATGTTTGCTGTAGGTAAGAATTCCATTCATTGTAAGAAGGTAGTACATAAAAATAACACATTTTAACTTATTTTATATCCTCTCCCCCCACGCTTTCCCTATTTATCCATTTCTTCATTGTACTGTCTTTTTTTTTTTTCTCATCAGAGGGGGTTTTAGAGGTCATTTTTAGTCAGTGAAAGAAATAAGTTAGTACAGAGCTGTTGCCATCCAGTAATGCCCCTTTTGTACTATGTTCACGAATTTTCTCATTTCTTGACTGCATTCATCTGACTTTCATTTACAGAACTTTATACAGAATAGATTAGAATTCTCAATGATTATAGTTATTAATGACATTACTGATTGTGTCCACATTAACCTATTAAATGTTCATTTTGAAAAATATATTGAAAATAAGAACTAATCATTAAAACTAAATTTTATTCTATTTTTATTTTTCTGAAGGAATATATTACACATATCAAGGTAAAAACTTTATATTGAGTCTACATGTTTTCAATATTAATGTTGTTTGACTTTTATAGATGATAATATTTTTTAATGCATAACTTGATTTTAGCAGAAACTTCAACAGATTAAACAGGAGGAGCAGCAGCAAAAACAGGTAATTTGTTTATATTTCTATATACTATGAAGTACATAGAATATACAAAAGTATTTACAATGTATATATTTAATCTAAAGAATGGTAGTAAATGAACATGACCTGTCAAGCACTGTAAGAAATTAAACATTGGCAAAGTCCATAAACTTGCTAAATCATAAATATTTTTACATTAATGATTTCAGAATAGAGATTAAATACCTAATGATATCTCTAATGCTATGTATTAATAGGTACATATGGACAGAACTATGTCCACATTGCAAACTATGCTTCTTTTATTCTCAACGTGAACATGGTGATGAATGGGGAAAGGGAACAAAGGCAACCTGGCACAAACCCTCCTCTGACTGTTGGGCAGCGTGATGACGTGACCTTGAGATCCTGCGTACTTCATTCTCTGCGTCTGTATATTCAGTGTTCTTAAGGAATCTCAAAAGGTCTTACGTTAGCATTCATCATAACGTTCCGGAGAAACTGCCTCTCCACAGAGGAAAGTGAGGCCCGGAACACAATTCAGTTAATAAGTCAATATAAAATTCTGCAATTCAATTACATTAATGGTCAAACAGGAGTATTTTAATGCCTCATTTTATCAGTGGATATTCTCATGTTTGATATCAGTGTATATTCTGTTTGATCACTTACAGTGGATATTCTCTAAATCAAATTAAGATGTAAAAATAGATTTAAAAAAAAAAGATTAAAAGATTCCTTTACACCAAGGAAAACAATGCTGGCTCTTGGCCAGCGTTAAACGTACTCCAGCCTCAGAGCTGCCCGTCAGTCTTTTCAGACCGGCTGTGTGAAGAAGCAGCAGCAGGGCGGTCTGTTAAGAGACCCGCGGGCTACACCCGCGCGCTCCCCAAACTCCTGCGCGCACACCTGCGGCAACCGGGGGCGCAGGAGCAGGGAGAGCCAAACCTTTCTTCAAGATTCCCGAACACCAATTTCACGTTGAGTGGTGCATTCGTCTACGACGTGAACGCTCTGAGAAGCGCTGCACAGCATCCCCAAGCGTGTCTTAGGCGCTTCTCCGGGGGCAGGCGACTGACTGCGTTCTGGCGGGTGGCGACTCAGGCCGCTGCCCTGCCCTTCTTCCAGGACCAGCGCCAGGCCCCCGCCCCCTACGCCGCGCCCGAGCCCTACGCCGTCCCGGGTGCCAGCCTCCTGCCAGTGCCGCAGCCCGCCGCGGCGCCCGCGCTCCTGCCGCTGCTGCAGCCCGAGGTGATGGCCAACTTCCCCAGGGCCGAGCAGGCGCCCTTCCTGCCCGCCGCCTTCCCGGTCCCCGTCCCTGGAGTCCTTGGCCAGCAGATCCCCGTCATCGTCGGCCCGCAGATACCCCAGCAGCAACAGCTCGTGCCCATCGCGCCGCCGCTGCCGGGGGTGGTCCTGCTCCCCGCGCACGCGCAGCCCGTCCCGCAGACGCACGAGCCCACCCGGTTCGTCCAACAACTGCTGTACCGCGCCCTGCAGCCCCAGCTCGCCCAGCGCGCTCCAGAGCACAGCTACGTTGCTGTAAGTGCATGCTCGCGCCTAGTACAAACTCGCCTCTGGAAATGCGCGCTCGCCCTGCGTCCGTTCTGGGATGCACGGTGCTGAAACATGCGTAGTGTGATTCAGGAGTGCGACGCACTCTCGTTGGTGCGGCAGCCACACATTGGATTGTGGGAAATCATCCCCCAGTTCCCGGATAATTCTGATGGTGGGTGTGACCAGTTAGTGAGAAGCAACTGTTGGGGAGGAAATGATGGCCGAGATTCTGATTTAATTGATATGCTGAGATACTGATGGAAAGAGGCCCAGGCCCAGGCCTTACTAAAACCAGAACTGAATTTGGCCATCTGTCCGACAGGTTTTACAATAATGAACACTGGTTCTTTCCCAGAGTTTTAGCATCGTCGTAGTGCACATGTGTTCCTCATACTCTAGTGCACATCTTGCCTAGGCCGAACGTACAGGAGAGCGAGAGCGAAAGTGAGATGTCCCCTAAATCGGACCTTCTGAAGGCAGGTGTTCCTTGCTAAGATTTAAATTGTATGTTCATTTATCTTGCATTTGTTTCATTTTAAGGTGTAAGAGGATTTCAAGATCAATGCTTCCACCTCATATTTTGGTAAGTCTGCTAATTTGAAGATTACATTGATCTTTGTTGTAGTAGATATCTGTATATTTTATTATTTCAGATAAACACAAGATAATGTCAAATCCCATCAGTATACTAGCCTAATAATGATGTCTGTTCTTTAGTGATTTATTATTTTACCAATGTGAAATTATAAGTCTATGTCAAGAAATTTTAAATTTTATTTATGTATTGTTGATAGATTTGATTGGCTTGCTTTCAAAGTCTATGCGTTTACATTTAATGATCATTTTTAGGCAAAACAAAACAGATCTACTTGTATGTCGATGTACTTAAGCTTCCGTTAAAAGGTCTAGTTTCATTATTATTTCTAGCTTGGGTTTCATAATTCTTTACTTCTCATAAAATCCTTTTAATTTGTGAATCAGAATACAATTGCTTATTCCAAGGTCAAGGGTTCAAAAGGAGCAAGCAGACAGCTTTGATATCCTGAAAAGTTGTGATCCAGGTAGATGTGGAGTTTCATCAGAACAAGTGGGCTGGCGTTTGGCCTGTTAGGAACTTTGTGTGAATGCAAGGGAAGGTTCAACAGAATGCATTTGTATTACTATTTATCTAATTATATTAATCTTACCAAACTTACAAATAGGGATAGTTGAATTCGTGTATGAGTAACAACTAATTCTATATTTGCTCTCTGTTCTACAGAATTGACTAGGACGGGAAATGTGGCATCCTTTCTTTGTATTTTATTACCCAGAGTCACTCATTTTGAAATGAATCCACATGAAGAAATGAAAGTTTATTCTCTTGTTAATTTTAGATGTTATATGGCATTCATTTAATTTGAATTTGGTGGAAGCACTCTAAATGTTACATTTCTGGAATTAGATTTCCTATTATTTCTTTAAGAACCTATTTTCTTTCTAGTCATGTCAATAAATTAATCCTTTAGGCATATTCATGTTGTCTTGTTTTATTTTTAATATTCACAACCAATTGTATCTAGCACTTGGGAACCAGAGGCAGGAGGAATGCTGTGAGTTAGAGGTCAACTTGAGCTACATGGCAGACCTTCAAAATATCAAAGAACAATCAATGGTAGTGTAGTGTGAAAACTAATCAATATAGACTGTGTCATAAAAATGATAAAGAATCTTATCAGTTTATACAGAAAAAAGGATTAGTCAAAATTTAGCATCAATACACAGTAAAAGCTTTCCAAAGTAGAAGTGGAATTTCCTCAGCCTCATAAAGAACATCTATGTAAAAATCTATGACTAATGGTGAACCTTCATACTGAAGGATGAAGTAGTAAAGATTTCCTTCTGAGATCAAGAGCAAGGTGTCTGCCAGTCACAAGGGCATCTACCTTTATCTCCCTTTGGACAGAATCAATTTCAGCCAGTGTGAAAATTCAAGCAATAGAAATGTAAGGCATATAGAATTTTCCCTACTTGTAGAAAATAAGATCATCTAGGTAGAAAATCCCAAGGAATCTGTGAAAATATTTTTGAACTGATAATGAGTTTGATATAATTCATTATCTTTGCAAGATAAATTATCAGCAATCAAAAGTAAAATGACACAGTATTTATAACTACTCCCAAAATGATCAAATTATATATAAATCTAAAGAATATAAGACCTAGATATAAAATTATAAAATGCTAATACAGGGTCAGGGAGATAACTCAGTGGCTTAAGTGCCTGACTGGCAAGTGCAAGGTTCTGAGTTTGGGAAAAAGAAGAAAGAATAAATGCTAATGCAAGAAGTGAAGAATACCTAAATAATTAGAGCAATGTACTCTGTATAGATTGAAAGATACTAACATAAGAAGACATCAATTATTTCTAGATTGATCTCTCTAGGCTTGATTTAACTGAATCTTTTGTAGACGTATACTAGCTTATTCTAAAATCAACATAGAGGGGCTGGCAAGATAGCTCAACATACTAAAGTGCCTGCTTAGGCAAGCACATGGACCACAGATCAATCAAACCAAAGAAAGTTCACCACTTGCCATGCCAGGCAGGCTGAGCCTGCCAGATTCCTGGCCTAGTGGTGCACACCTGTAATCCCAGCACTGAGGAAGCTTAAAGCAGGAGGATCACCATGAATCTGAGCTGCACATTGAGACCCTAAAACAACAACAACAAAAATCTATATCTATCTATAAAATCAACAAGGAAAAGAAAAGGTACTAGAACAGATAAATCAGTTTTGACAGTAGAAGAAAATGGTAAGAATTATTGTTTGAAATGTTAGGCCTTCCTATGGTAAATAAGACTGTGCTACATGTCAAAGGTTACATATATAGATGAATTGAACTAATTGGAGATTCCAGAAATACAGCCATGCAAATATCCAGAATAAAATTTTGACAAAGATGAAAAAACAATTTGAAAAATAGTGACAGCTTTCTTAACTAACGGTGCTGGAGCAATTGGATGTTCAAGGCAAAATCATGAGCCTTGGTCTAAACCTCATACCCCACAGGATAATTACCCTTAAATGGTTTCTTGGTTCTTTTTGTCCTAAACAAAGAATTGGTCAAGACTAGTGTGGAAGGTACTAAGGGTTTAAATTAAAAAAAGAAAAAGAAAAACATGCTCTGCAGAGTGAAGGTGGACCAATTAAAAGACAAAAAAGAAGTATACTCCACACGGTGAGAACGACTCTGTGGAAGAGAGAGAGACAGTGGCATAGAGCTCAGTGGCAGCCCCCTTTTGTATCTCCTGCTCCGAAAACATATATCAGGACTAAGCTGTCCTATCAAGTATCTGCTTGAGTTCTCAGGAGAAGAACTGAGGACAGCACTTTCTGACTGGTCTCAGGTGCAGGGTTTTGGGCATTGTTCTACACATTTGTCCTAGAGCTTTTTAATGAACAGGTTATACCCACTTTCTCAGCCAGTTTGCCAACCCCTAATCTTCTGCTTCATTTCTCCCAACAGACATAAATTCCTACAATTCTTTATGGGTGCTGAAAAAGTGGAGGGCTCTTCATTTTCTCCAGATTGGATCTTGTGGCTCACTGGTGTGGTTGAAAAAAAAATCTTCCAGAAGTTAGTAAGAAAGGACTTATTATCCATAGTGAAAGACTGTTGTATTGCCTGTTTGATGGGGGAAAAGCTGGTGAATTTGGCTAGAAAGTAACTTCACTACAGTAAGTTCTTGTCTTAAAAACAGGTTCCATTCAGGGATAATTATTTGAAAGTCAGCTTTGTTCACAAACTCACTAAGTGTATCTTTTCTAGTACACTTGTGAAAGTTCACAACTTGAGTAGTCTTAAGTTGGGCATGTAGAGCCAAGTATAAGATGAGGGTCAAGGTTTCATTCTTCCTGGGGAGGAGAAACTATGGCAAAGAGATAGATAAATCCACAGAAACCTGGGAGCCATAGCCTTAACAAGATGACCAACATTATAGATCTAATCAAAAACTGAAGTCTCAATTCAAATGCTCATTTAACCTGGGGTGAATTAGTATCACCAGTGACTATTTATCTGCATCCAAGAGTAATACTAGAGTATTGCTGCTTGCGGAGGAGACTCATATATTATTAATTAGCAGACTTGTATTATTATGAGTCTAGTGGTCTCTGGGTTTACTGTCCCATGCAGGAAGAGAGAAAGGCCTCCCATACATCTTAAATGGATTAAGATTTAGCCCAGGTTTGGGGTGTTTCCAACTCAATAAATGAAGGTTATTGACAATGAATGGAGCCAAGTCTTGCAAGTCAGCAAAGTTTTTGCCAGAGTTGACATTAGAATCTGGTTGATTCTGTCTACCATTCTGGAGGACTAAGGTCTCCATATAGAATGGTGATGTTACTTTTTCCTGAAGACTTTGCCATCCCCTGACTTATTTGGGGGTAAAAGAAGGCTCATTGTCACTCTGAAGGAACAGAGGTGGTCCAAACCAGGGGATGGTTTCTTTGGGGAGAACGTTTACTACCCTCATATCATTTTATGATCAAGTAAGGAAGACCTCAATCCAGCCCATAAAGGTATCAGTTAGGACCAATATTTTTTGAAATCCTCCATGTGGTGGCAAGTTGGGAAAGTTTAATTGCCAATTGTCTTCAAGGTATATCACTCTCCTCTATACAAATTTTAACAAGGGAGGTGGTTTGGGCTTGCTAGGACTGTTGTAGGCACACAGTGGGCAAGCTTTGAAGACATGTTGGTTACTGCTAATCCCAGTTCTGTGAAAACTCAAGTGACTATGTCCAATATAGCATCTTTTATCATATAGAAAGAATCGTGAAGAGGCTTTTATAATCTATTGTGTTTCTTGAGAAGGATCAGTTTGTTTTCTAAATAATACCAGGGTCTTTTTTGAACCCCTCCATCCTTGTCCTAAGGAAGAAAGATTGGTTTTAATGATTCCAGAGTAATTAGGAACAAGGCTAGGGTCTTGAGGGGCTGTGAGGCTGTCTGTCTTGCCTTCCTATCAGCCTTTTGACCTTCAAAAGAGCTTTTAGGCATGACTTTCTGTTTTTCCTCAGAACGACCAAAACTTGCTTGGGAAGATAGACTGTCTCCAGTAATTGTAGAAACTCCTGCTTATATTGTATAGACGATTGCTTATTAGTTAGTAAGCCCTTTGCATTTCAGCTTGGGACATGGGCATGTAGCATGAGAAAGTCGCACTTAGAATCTGTATACATTTTCATCTTTTGCTTTTTCCTAATATTAATACCTGAGTGAAATATCTGATACCTTGTGTCAATTTGAGAAGCTTAGAGGCTTAAGTGATTCAGTGTGGGCCAGAGTCTTCACTTTGTAAACATCCTCATCCTGTTCGGGGGGCCAGAAATGGTGAGAGTGCTGCGCTCACCCTCAGAGGTGGTAGCCTGCTATAAATTGTTAATATAAGAGGAAAAGAGACTTGTTTTTTTGCCCCCTTTTGCTCTTTCTGCTTTTGCTGACTTCTACTGTTTTGAACTGTTGCCCTGTGCCAAGCACCCTGCCTTGGAGCTGGTTATGGAATGAAACCTCCACAAACTGTGAGCTAAATAAACCTATCCTTTAATTTGGGGAGTCTGGGTATTTTGTCTCAGTAATAAGTGAAAAGTAACTATGAAACTGAATAAGAACTATTTATTACCTCTGCTTTTTTAGCAGAAGTTTGTATGGGAAGAAGTTTGGCATTCAATAACCTATTGCAAACTGTTTAGTGAAAAACCTGTATTTCACAGTCCTTCTTGCACAAAGCTACTTCCATCAGTGAACCACACTTCTAAAAGTCATGTCAGGGCAGATTGCTGATATTCTGCCTGCTTGTATAGGTCTAGGAGATCAATTATTCATGATAGTGGCTGACATCTGAGTCTTTAGTCATCAAAGAAGGAGGGTTAGTAGTACAAGTCTTTGTAGTATTATCAAGATTGTTTAAGAGTGTGGCCTAATACTTGGAAACCTGTTCTACTGTCAATCACAAGTAGTCTTCATCTCAAGAATAATTCTTACTTGATGCAGGAGGGGGTCAGAAATTTTATTTTAGTTTTGAAGACATTCTTCTGGTAGCATAGCTCTAGTTGCTACTTCCTTTAGACAAGGTCACCATCCAGTATCTGCTCTGTTTTACTCACTTGATAAGTAAGCCACTGGGAAGAATTCTTGTTATAGCCTGTGTGTTAACACTCTGAAAACAACTCCTCTTTTGTAATATGTAGAATAAAAATGGTTTTCTTAAGTCAGGTCTTCTCAGTACTGGAGGTTGAGTAAGGGTATGTTTTATTCCTTGAAAGGCATTGTGAATCACAATGCCTTTTGGTGCACAAATCCAGGACATTTGTCATCCGCATATAAAGTGTTTACCATTAGTCTAAAGTTAGATATGCTGATATAGGAGAATCTGGCCATTCCCACAAATTAATGAAATTGTAGTTTAGAGGCAGGAG